AATCCCTTTAGTGATTAACATGTGTACATGGAGGGCTAAGCAGAGGCTTATGACTTAGAGGTTAAGGCAGCAGAAAAGATAGATACAATATGGAGTCAGAAATTCCAAGCTTCATCTACAAACAAGAGGCAGATGGAGGACAAAAAAAGGGGGGTTCTGTCCCTGGGAAGGCCCTGCAGGATCCTGCTCTGTTACAAGACCAAAATCCTATTCGGATGTGTTTCCCCTCCTGCCTCTGCCACAGGTCCCAACCAAAACCTTCCAGGTAAGAGCTAGCATCTAACTCACAGGCAGCATCTGGCATAAGTATTCCTAGGGTCTGGATCTGTTTTACCACCTTCTTGGCCTTTTCAAAGGCTTCTTGATAGGGGATGTCCCAATCCCATTTTTGTCCCTTTTCAACCAGAGAGTAAGGGGCCATATTATTAATGCCAAATGAGGTATGAAAGAATGCCAATAACCTAGTAACCCCAGAAAAGATTGTATTTCCTTGACCAACTGTGGAGTGGGCAAGGCTTGGATTTTATCAATAACCTCAGCTGGCATAACTTTTGTCTTACCCAACCAGACAGTTTCCAAGAACTTTATTGATTGCTGAGGTCCCTGGATCTTGTCAGCACTTATTTCCCATCCTTGGTTTTGTAAATGTGTGTGTAAAGGGGCAGCAGCTGCAGAGAGGAGAGACCAGTCACCATAGGTTAACATAATGTCACCAATATAATGAAATAATTCCAGTTCAGAGTGGGGATTTCGCTAGGTTTCAGGAGACCATATCATGGCAAATGGTGGGACTATGTAAATAACCCTGAGGCAAGACCTGAAAGATCCATTGCCTTGCATCCCAGGTGAAGACAAATTGATCTTATTGAAAGGTCCATTGCCTTTTGTTCCAGGTGAAGGCAAACTGATCTTGAGAGCTATCATCCAAAGGAATGCTGAAAAAGATGTTAGACAGGTTGAGTACACAATGAAAAATTTTCAGCACAGAGATAATCTAAAATAGTAGCAATATTGGGGACTGCCACATGGATGAGAGGGACCACCGTATTTAATTCTCTGTAGTCAACAGTCATCCTCCCAGTCCTGTTAGGCTTCTTTACCAGCCACCCTGGGCTATTATAGTGACTATAGGTAGGTCCAATAACTCTCACCCTTTCTAGTTCTTTAACAGTAGCAGTGACCTCTTCATAGCCCGCAGGCAGCCAATACTGTTTGACATTAACTATCCAGTGAGGTGTAGGTAAATGAACATGCGTGGCCTACCAACACAGGTTTCTCCAGTCTGGTGTGAGGGCGACAATCTCCAGTAGTGGTGTTCAAATCCAGGTCTTGTAAAACATCAGCACCTAGGGTATATTCTGGTATTCGGGAAATATATACGTGGAACAATTGGGTGGGCACATGGCCCATTTGAAAATATAATCTGGTTTGTCTTATTTGAATAGTTTGGCCCCCAAATCTGTCTGTAGCCCATATTGCTCCCCCAAATTTAGAGGAGTTTCCATACAACAAGATACACTCAGTTCTGGTATCTAACAGTGCTGTTTGTTTGCGTGGGACCAATAAATTGTCAATTCCACATGAAGCGTCCAGTCACCTCCCCATTGCATGTAGGGGCAGTGCTGGCCCTACCCCTAGTCCCTCGGTGAGGGGGGATTCACCCTTAGGATTCTACTTCTAGTAGGGGAGGGGGTGGGGAGGGACTGGGACACACTGTCACATGTTTCTTGCCAGTAGACAGAGGAGCAAGTCATTTGTTTATTTGTTTGTTTGTTTATTTATTTTGGTAGGAACTTTCACAAAGATAAAAGAACTGAATTAGATTTTGGTTTTGGTTTTGTTGTTGTTGTTGTTTCATCAGTCTCTTCCTTAGAGTCCCTGCTGACACTAAGTTCTGCCGAAGCAGTTTGTGTGACACCTGGGTCTGTCCTTCCCCTGCTTTTTCTCCGCCCTTTGTTTATTTCCGTTTTCTCTCTTTATTTTTGTCTACCTTTCTATTTCCTCACTGGAGGACTGTTTCTGTTTCACCGAGATCTGCTATAATTGCAGTTATCAGAGCTATCATTTTATTGACCACAGGTGCCAGAAGTGATACTAAGGTGTCATACCAAATTCCAGGAGCAGACTGTAAGATATAATCCTTCATACCCGTGGTAAATATTTCTTCATCTGCCCCTCTAAGTTGTTGGCATAAATAGCATGTCTCATTCCAAGTTCTTCAATGATGTCTTGTAATTCTTCCATGGAGTTTCAGCATAATGGAGGTGATAGGACATGTCCTTTGTTAGGCCAGGCCAGCTTTACCCTAGCCTTAATTCAAGTAACTAAATCAACCATCTGTCCTCAGTTCCCCATAATTCCAGCAGCATTTGTCTCAGGGCTGGCTGTGTGTCGCTAAATCCATTTTTGACATCTCCAGGCTATTTACCTGATATTGTTTCTGCCCCTGTTCCACAGGTGGAGTAACAATGCAGCTACTCCTTTTCTGGTGGTGTTATTTTTTTTTTGAATCTAGGCTGTCAATTCAACTAGTTCTGCAGAAAAATAGTCACTCATAGTTATCTTTTGGTTAGTTGGTATCTCTTTTTGGTAATCTTTGAGCTTATGGGTTGTCTCAGTCTTTGTTCCAATGAGGGGGCAATCCCTTAAGTTATCTTCCCCTTCAACAATTATACCTTCTTCCTCAGAGGAATCATTACAACATGGATCCCATCGTTTGGGATTCCAATCTTCCTATGAGATGATGGTATGCACCTTGTTGGATGGCATGTGCCACCCTTGCATTTTTGCCACTTTGCTTATCATGACTTCCAGGTGTTCCTCATTTTGTTGTACTTTTTGCCTAGTAGGTCCGAATTGGAGAAACAAGCCACTCATAGGTCTTTTTCTAATGTCATGGACTTTTTAGCTTTTTTCTAGTTCCTGCCTGAGTCAGAGCTCGCTTTCTGTACTGAATCACAGGGCCCAAAGCAGCAGCCATACTACCGTGGCTATAACATGTTCAATTTCCTTAGTTTCTCTTTACCTACTGCTTTGGTTAGAATGTCCAGCAGCTCATATGGCATTTTGGGGCATCTCCATGCTCATGCACCAGTCCAAAGTGTTCTAAAAACTCAGGTAGATCTCCCCACATGGAAGAGGCTGGCAATCATGGGATTTTCCCCACTGATAACAGGCTTTCATGCAACGTAGTCCCTTTATCCATATCTGTTTCACTTTTGGTATCCTGGCTGGCTCACCAATTGTTCAAAGGCAGGGCTATTGAATAATATCCCCTGAACTGAGGATAAACTTTAACACCAAAAAATGAAGTAAGCAACTCCATAAAGTACAATTATAAAGTTTATTGTGGGTAATTTACATATGGGTAAGATCAGGCAGAATTCAATCTGGAAGCATTCATGCTGCACTGCATACTGCTGAAAGGGGTAAAGGAGAACTTAAAGGAGCCAAAGCTAAGGATAGAACCTGATTGTTGTTACCAAGCTAGGTTCATTTGCTCGATATTCAGCAAGCCAAATGCTGAGATGCTGAGGTTTGCAGCAGAGAAAAGATTTATTCACGAGGCAGCCAAGTGAGGCGATGAATCTCAAATCCGTCTCATGAAGATAGGTTTTGAGGCAGGGTGGCCTGAGACATGGGAAAAGGTAATTGGACCTAAGAAAAGCGAGGTTTTTCAGTGGTCTATGCAAGTGTAGTCGAGCTTCACGACTCTTGGTAGGACACATGTTCAGAAAATGGCAGTTTTAGCTTGTTCTGAGGGTGGAGTTTTTAGCCCTCCGATGTCAAAATGTCATCCACAGGAAATGCACGCAGACCCAGTCGGATGGCTACTGGCCTTAACTATTCTGAATTGGGCAAGGACTAGCTCCAAGTTCCTGAAAAATAACTTAAGGAACCGATACTATAGTGACCCATATGTCAGAGGTGTTATGTATAAGGAAGATAGTGGAGGTTTAGTTTAAAATCATCTGAAAGCAAGCAAGTAAAAGCAAGCGAGGCAGGTTAGGTTTGGCGGGCCTACTCAGGTTAGCCTTCAGTTTCACTACTAAGGGAGAAACACATCCATGCCAATGGGAAGTGGGGCATTTTTCCTCCCCCAGGGGTCTCGTGACGATTATTCTCTGCAGATCATTAACCATCTGCGTCAGCAAATGGTATTCTTCCAATTTTCATATCAAATGAAAGCAAGGGTAAAAGTGGATAGGGAACCTCTCTGGCTGGGTGCATTCCTTATGAATCGGCTAAAGCTCAGTCAGGCAGAAATGGGAGGGGGTAGGCCAGTGGGAAGATGGAGCTGACAAAACGGAGTCAGTGTGGTTCAGTCACACAATGTCTTTGGTGAATTTTATGTAAAATGTCAGTGTGCCATTTTGATGTTTGATTCTTTGTCTCAAAACTGTATGTAACTGTGCCTCTGCCGCCTAACAGTCCGAACAGTCCTCGAGTTTTCTGAAAGACTATCTCCCAGTTTATAATCCTCAAGTTGGCGCCAATAAAATTTTCTATTCCTCCTTTAGACCGACTATCCATGAATTTTTCCTTGACAGGAGGAATAGAAGAGCACATGCATGATTTCAGCAACAGGTGGGAGAGAAGGGCTCCAGTACAACCCCAGTCTTCTACGCCCCTCCCTCCTGGTTACTCCTTCTGGAGGCCGCCAGTGAAACAGAGACCAGGACCAACCCCAAACCTCCTAGTCCCCCTAGGTTGGGACTGCAGAGCGCAGTTAAGAACGACATGAACGCAGTAGGGCGAAGCGAGGTGCGCAGGCGTGGCAGGTCTCCGCTGAGGCGCCAGCCGGAGTTGGACGTCAGCGCGCAAGCGCAGCAGGCCCCTCAAAAAGGGGCGCGCTCCGCCGCCGGACTCACGCAGGCGCAGAGTTTTTTCACTTACGACAAGCGCTGGCGGGGTGTTAGTGCGCAGGCTCTCGCCAGGGGGCGGAGCCCGAGAGATGGACAGCGGATTTCCGGTTCCTGGAGCAACGAACCGCCGCGGAGGCGACAGCTACCGCTTTAGAGGAAGCCGCTGCGGAGGAGGAAGAAGAGGAGCTGGGCAAGGCGGGAGTCAGAGGCGGGACCCTCGCCATGGGTCCGCGGACCTAGAGCGGCGGAAGGTACCTGCCGGGAGCCGAGCTGGTGAGACAGTTGTGGGGTTGGAAATGGAGACCGCTCAGGCAGAGAATGGGGAAGAATTGAGACTCAGAACGCTGACGGAGAGCAATGAAGGGCCCTCAGGCCGATGAGTGGGAGGAATGGCGGCGTCGGAATATTGAAGGGGAGTAATGGAGAGATTTAGGCAGAGAACGGGGAGGAATGAGGCTCAGAAGTCTGACAGGTGGAAATGTCGGGATCTTGGACGAGGACGGAAAGGAATGGGGGAGGATCCGAACGCTAAGGGGAGATATCGGGGCCTCTCAGGTTAAGGTGAGAGAAATGAGGGTTCAGAACGCTAAGGGGGAGAAATGAGGGGCCCTCAGGCTGATGACAGGGAGAAATGGGGCATTGGTATGCCAAAGGGGAGGGGCGGGGGTCTCGTATGGAGGACAATGAGAAATAGGTGGTCAGAACGCTGACAGTTAGGGATGGCATGATCCTGGGCCAAGAACGAAGAGGAATGGGCTGTGGGGTTCAGAATGCTGAAGGGAGAAATCAGGTTCTCTCAAGCCGATGAGAGGAATGGAGGTTGAGGACGCTGAAGAGAACTTTTTAGCTTCAGAAGAGAGGAATAGGGAGGTCTGGGGGCTTGGGAACGAATTGTGGCTTAGAACACTGACAGAGGGAAAATAAGATGGGGAAGGCTTTCAGGCTGAGGAGCAGAAGGAATGAGGGGCTGTTAAGGTCAAGTATATGGAGGAGTTGGAGGCTCTCTGGCAGAGGACAGAAGAAATTGAGGCAATAACACTGAGGTAGCAGGATAATAGGACAGCAGACAGGGAAGGAATGGGAGTGTTAAAGACTGGAAGAGAGAAATTAGTGACTCCTGGGTCAAGGAAGGGAATGAATGGAAGGTCAGGACTCTGAGGTAGAGTACTGGGACCTTGGTCTAAGGACGAGTGGTATAGGGGCCTCTTGGGCTGAGGATGGGAGGAATGAGATTTCTCAGGCTGAGGATGGGGTGGAATCGGGGATTAGGACGCTGAGAGTGAGGAATGCATTGAGGATAGGGGCCCTTGGGTTGAGGATGGGGCTACCAGGTCAAGAAGGGTGTGGAATGATAAGCTCCTGGGCCCAGGACAGGGAAGAATGGAGTAGGGGTGGGGGTTTTCTCTTCTTTATATTGGCTGGTTGCTTGTGGCGGGTCCTAGGTCTTGAACAAGCATTGATAGATAGCACGGGTTTGTGTGGCTTGGGGGCACAACATGTCCCCTCCTAGAGCCTCAGTTTCTCCCACTGCTCCCTCCATGTTGCAGGCCGCTGCTCCTTCCTGTGGCCCCCATGGCTGAGGACTGGCTGGACTGCCCAGCCCTGGGCCCCGGCTGGAAGCGCCGTGAGGTCTTTCGCAAGTCAGGTGCCACTTGTGGACGCTCAGACACCTATTACCAGAGGTACTGGGTGGTTGTGGACAGAGTCAGGGGTTAGGGCTGAGCCTGGTTAGGCAGGGTGAAATCAGGGGGTGTGGTTAAAATCATGGGTGGGGTTAAGTTATGCATATACAGTTGATTCTTTTTATTCACAATGTTCATATTTATAAATGTGCCTACTCACTAAAGTTTGTTTGTAGCCCCAAGTCATAATCACTGTGCTATCACGGTCATTCGTGGATATGTACCAGAGCAGCAAAAAATAAGTCTCCTGATGCATGTGTTCCCAGCCCTGAGGTTGAATGAGGCTTTCTTATTTCAGCTCTTGTACTGTAAACAAGTATCCTTTTTGAGGTCTACTTAGTGTCATGTTTTCTGCAGTTTTGTAGTTTTTAGTGGTGATTTTGCTGTTTATAGTTGCCCCCAAGTGTAGTGTTGAAGTACTGTCTAGTGTTCTAAATGCAAGTCTCTGATGTGCTGTAAAGAGAAAATTCATGTTAAATAAGCTTTGTTCAGGCATGAGTTGCAGTGCTGTTGGCTGTGAGTTCAATGTTAATGAATCAAAAAGGCAGTATATCTAGAAAAAGAAGAGGAAATCTGCCCATTAGTACTTGAGGCTGCTCCAGAAAGCGCTAAAGAAACATCTATAGAATGTGATAAGGCTAAGGAAAAGGTGGAAAGTGGTTAAATTCATGGATCCATGAAATGATGACCAGAGTGTAGTGGACAGCGTTCTGAGACTGAAAGTAAAGAACATTGACAGTCCTGTTACCTAGGGTTAGGAAAATGTTAAGCCTGTCTCAGCTACTGTTGGCTGGCTCGCACATTTCAGAAGGTGATACATCATGAAAAGTGTTAAATTTGCAAGCGAGGCAGGTTCTGCAGATAAGAGTCTGCGGAAGAATTTAAAAAACACCTGCTAAGTGTTATATGGGAAAAGGGTTATATAGAAGAGTAGATTTTCAGTGCTGATGAGACTGGCTTGTTTTACATGGACATTGACAGAGAAACGTATATAACACAGATGGCTTCCAAAGCTCCTGGCTTTAAATCATTCAGAGACCATGCAGTTAATTATTTGTAAGAGGGATATATTAAGCAGGGTGTCTTTAAACAGAAACGCACATAAAACAAGGTTACATACTGATCAGTTGACAAAAACATGACCAGAGGCTTGTAGGAACTTAATCTGCAGTTCCACTAGGAGCAGTGGTTCTGTACTCACTAATTCAGTGTTCAAAGTGACTTTATAGAACATAATTACGGTGAATAATAAGAACTGACTATAAGTACATGAACATACATGTTTATAAAACAAGTTACATTAAAGGATTTAAGGTCTTTTGGAATA